TGCAGCTTGTGTAATATAATAATTACTGACTACTGTGATTTCAACAGCTGATGTTTCGTGTTCAAGAGCTACACTAGCAACGTGCCCATGACAATTCCTCCAGTGTTTTGACTAAATACATAGGGGACTGTACAAAGTAATGAAGTATAACACTGCTAATGGTGTACTATATCAAATTGGCAGTATCACTTTTAACCTGATACTATCCTAAAATAATGTGATATTATTTCAAAATTACACAGTGGTGGAAGGTAAATGAAGTAAAAATTGTAAAGTACTATATTCAAGTAAAAATGTTAGGTATCTGTACTTTACTTAAAAATATTTTAAAATGGATACTTTTTACTTTTTCTTCACAACATTTCAGAGAAGGCATCTGTACTTTCTATCCAGGCTGGCACCACCTAGTGCCTCCGCCCAATTTCATTTCTCTCCAGCGACTAGGTCAGGAATCAGAATACACTAAATGATTTGCAAGAACCCAAGTTCTGGCACCAGCCAAGCAGCAAAGAGCCATTCATTCCGTATTAGCAACAATTCCCGAGATTGAGGCCGGAACAAAGAGAATGTTTGGTGAATTTTATCGGGGGAAAGACGTTATTGCCCTTCTTCCTACGGGATTTTGGAAAAGCTTAATATACCAGTTAGCCCTGTTAGCAGCGCATTACATATGTCATGACCAAATAGCAGCAACTGATTAAATAAAATGAGTACCCACCTACCGTCGAGCAAACGAATCCTGATACTGCGCTGTCAGACTGATTCCACAAATTTAAACCAGCTGATGAATCAGGTATGTACTTTCCACTCCACTACATTTTTGACTGAAAAGCTAATTAATTTTTATGATAGTTTGAGGCCTGTTGAAATGACTGAGAGCTTATTTTTAACACATTCACAGTCTGATAAAAACTAAATATACAAATAAAAACACAGGAAAAAAAAGATCGATTTAGTTTTTTCTGTTGAACAAAATTCAGCACAAATCTTTATCAAAATCACTATATTTGAAGCTTTATTAGATCTGAAAATCTGTGTGATTTTAAACAGGTACTTTAATACTTTTACCTGAGTAGATTTTTTCATGTGATACTTTTACTTGAGTATTTTGTGTTTGTTTGTTTCTTCCAGTATAGTCCTTATTGTCATATTAACAACCAGGCTGCTTACTGATTATTAAACATATAGGAAAAGTGTTATAGTGTCTGAAGTCAGGAGTCTGTTACGTGCCACTGGAGTGGACCCAAAAAAGGACTCAAAACAAGGACAAAATGCAAAAGTAACAAGGGTTTATTAACCAGGGAAGATAGGCGGTGGAGAGATGAGGAGCCAGCAGTCGGGATGCAGGAGTCTTCAATGGCGGGAACTAGGAGTACAAAAATGCAGGTAAGTATACAGAAAGAGGGAAAAATCAAAAACTGAGCCGACAGGAAACTCACCATCAGGTAGACGAAAACAATCTGGCAGAGTCTGGCAGGAGAGCTGGGCCTATGAAGCAGGCTTGAATGCAGATGGGATGCAGGTGCTCCCAGCAGACTCCGCCCACATCCACACACAGCAGAGACTCAGGTGACAGGGAGGGGCGTGACAGAGTCTAACCCACAACTTTCTTACTATGAGGAGAAGACAGGATAACCACTGTGCCATAGTAACACCTGTTGATTTTCTCTGTGTTTTATTAGAAGGGGACAATGGCAGCTTTACTTTCGAGCAGAGACCTGGATCTGGAGTTTAGTGTTTTCATAGTTAAGTGCTTTATCACTCAAACTGAATTGCCCAAAACAAACCAGGCTTTCACTTTAGCTCGCTTCATGGAATACCCCCCTGATTGATGATCAAACAAGACTAACTAGATCTGTCCTTTATCATTTGTCAAAGAGTATGCTACCGCCTTTACTTGCTGTGAAATGTTTCAGAATTGTTATGGTATTTGCTTGATAATTCATATCAGTTATCAACAGGCTCAGATCGTTGCAATATCAATATAGTTTCAAACAATAGTGCTTCTGTCCAATGTGAAACTAAATGAGCTTTCATAGAGGAAGGGTGACGGTACTAAAGGGCTAAGTGGATGTTGCTTTAGGGGCTACCACACAGTGTAGGGGTCCACTGTTTTTTTATTTGAGACAAAACCTACACGATTAAACATGGAGTTACATCTCAAGTCTGTCCTCTTACTCACGGGTAAGTACAAATACTGCAATCATTTTTCATCTTCTTAATTTTGTTATGTTGTTGTTGATAAAAAATAATAATAATAAAAATGTCTTCAAACATGTATTCTTACGATGAGTGAGCTTGCCTCTCCACAGATGTGACCTTTAACTTGGCCTTGTAGCTCCTCTGGTTTGTCTTCAGGCCTAGATCATTTTATTGTCATGTAAAACATCATCTAAAAATAATGACCATGCGTCATCAGTATTGTGCAGCATGACAACACAGTTATTATTATTATTATATTATATATTATTATTAATATTATTATTTCAAGTTCAAAGTTACTTTTTACCTTTTGTTCAGATGAGATGGGCACTTCCTGGGCTGAAATTATCCAAATGATTGTAGTGAGGGTGTTTTCTGTTTAAGAGAATATGCAGGGTTTGTGTGTGAAACGTGTGAATAAACCAAAACAAAACTGTATGTTTGTGATGAGGAAACAGAATTATAACATATCGATCAAATAGTATAATATGTGCCCTTTTGTCATGATTGTTCGATTATTTAGACTCCTAATTATTACATTTGAGCATTGCACCAACCTCTCTTCCCTCACATTTCTCTTTGCAGTGATCTCTTTGAGTTTTTCTGAAGTGAGAGTTAACCTAACAGCTGTTGTGGGATCATCTATAACATTTCCAGACCCAGTCAAGGAAAGAGGATTTTTTTCATTTGCTTCTGTTTACAATGAAGTCTTTGAGATTGAAGAAGACATTTACACAAACAGACTTCACTGGAACAGCAGCACTGGACGCTTCACTCTCTCAGATCTACTGAAAAGTGACTCTGGAGTTTACACCATCGATTCTAAAAAAGGAAATGTGTTTTATAAATATTATGAATTGAAAGTATATGGTAAGTATACATTATATTAAGTATTTAAGTATTTATAAATAATCATAATGCCGGAGTGCTGTTTACTCTGGCATTATCAATTTACTTATAATGTTTATAATGTAATTTCTTTGTGCCACTTCTGTGCTGCCTGACACAAGTGAGTGTGCATTTGTTCTTTGTCATTTTTGGTGATTTATTTGTTCTGTATAAGTCTATGTCTTTGTGTTTTTGCAGAATTCTGTGTTTAGCTGCGTTTATGTGGCTTTGTAAATCATATAACTTTTACTAACCTTAAAGGTGGGCTGTCTGTCACCTGCTTGTCTCCATGGAGATATTACTGTTTTGCCCTGATTATCCCACAGTATGGAAATAAACTTGGTAACCACAATGTAGACAGGTTAGTGGTCAGATCTAGAGAGAAGGAAGCCTGTACATGCTGAGAATTCATGTGTTTTACGTTATTTTTAAGATAGTAAGCAAATTTAACAAATGGTTAAAGCTCTACTGTGGAACTTTCCAAGCAAAGAAATAACATCCCTCCACTTTAGAAGTTACATAGTACATCTTTAATGTATATAATGTAAATGTTGTCTTTTGTGGATTGCAGGGATACTACACCTTTCCTGGACTGGGGACTACAGTTGCAGTTATAGTTAATACCGGCACATTTACAGAAATGTTTATTAATGTGCATTGCCCCTGTTCAAATCAACTAATTAAAATAAAACAAAGTAGCACAATGAGCATGTCTGACTAAACCAGAAACAAACCACAATACACTTTAGTCAGACTGTTTTTCATAGATCAGATTAGTGAATAGGCAACTGATCATTTCCCATATTTTCTTAATGTGCTTGTGCCCTTGAGTAAGACTTGCATGAGTGTGATTTGTGATTTGTTGGAGGAACACAGAACTGCTGTCCATTTCACACTAGGCCAGTGAAGTGTAATGGAGGTTAGTGACTAGTCAGTGCAGTGATGTAAAGGCCTGTTTTTCCCTCTTTTCAGATTAGTAAAGATTGAGCACTTATAGTATGTCTTTTGTATTTCCAGAGCCACTGTCACTTCCTCTAGTGTCCCGTATGAACATGAGCGCTGACAGCTGCACTCTTCAGTGTTCAGTGAATCTCACAGAGCAGACCACACTGAGCTGGTTCAGAGGAGAGCAGCGTGTGGACAGCAGCAGCTCTTCAGTGCTGCCACTCACTGTCCAACTGTGGGAAAACACCTCAGAGCACAAATGTGTGGCTCAAAACCCCGCTGTTTGCACACACAAGACACAGTCTACTGGCAGAAGCTGTAAGATTTTTTTTTTTACAACATTGGCTTTTGTACGATACAGAGAACAAATATGCAGTAACCTAGTGGTAAATACAGGGTGCCATTTTATGTTTCAACCCCAGAACCCATAAAGCACACCCAAAAGTGTTCATTTGAAATTTTATTATATTTTCTGCATCTCACTTTTTTTTTTTTTTTTTTTTGGTGTTATATTGAATTATATATTCTTACCCAGTTTTAATAAAAAGAATAGACCTGCATTTACAGATTATTTGCTTACAGATCATTGTGCATAGTATAATGTTGAAGTTGTTGAAGTTTGAAATGTTATGTTCTGTCCACAGATCGAGAGTGTTGGGTGCTCCTGATTCATCTGACAGTCTTTGGACTTGGGCTGGCAATTTTCACTGCAGTGCTTCACATGAGGGCTGAAAGAAAGAGAAGGTCAACTGAGACAAGTGAACCAAATTAGCAAAATTAAACAGACACAAAAGAGAGGTGGCTGCCAACACATTTTTAACACAGACAGTTATTCACAAGATTTATTATACATATTTTATTATAACATTTGGTTTAAGTTTTGAGAAATAAACAGAAGTGTGATTTGATCGTATATCGTGGTCAGAACTGAACCCTGCCCTGATGAAGCTGATGAGATGGTACAATGTAAAAAAAAAAAAAAAAAAAAAAAAGAGTTAGAATTATTCCAACAAATATGCTCACATCTTTGCTATTCAATATCGCCTTGTTCTGTCCAAGAGATAAACTTAATATTAAGTAATCTATTATCTATCTATCAATATCTATATATAATCTATCACAGTCTATTTTATACAGAGAGAATTTAGAATTGAACTGCAACTGAACTCCCTGTGTTTGGGTAGAGGCACCTGTATTGCCATAAACTAAATTACTTTGTTTACATCATAGATCTGAACCTATAGCTCAGAGGAGGCACGTTCATTTATGCTTTGCTTTTGACATCCTTGGAAATGAGCTGCTGAAACATTTTTATTAAATCAGCAGACGCTACAATCTTTTTAACTATTTATGACTATTTAAATCCAGTTTACCTGTCTTATTATGTCTTGGTTTATTGCAACTCCTATTTAAAGGTTCACTGGATAATTTTACTGTTTTTGCTTTGGCTGGTATATTGCAAACTGGTCCATGGTCACAAGCAGATGATGCAACTAGGCCAAGTTACAGGTCAGATCTGTGGAGAGGTGACCCTGCCTAGTGTTTTTTTTTTTTTTTTTTCTTTGTTTGTTTAAGTATTTTAAGCTATAAAAGAACAATAAATGCTATATTAAATTGCATATTGTGGAACATTCCAAACAAAACAGAAACGTCTTGATGTAATAAGCAGGTAGGGCCACTTCAGAAAACGTATGAGCACCTTTAAGTCCTGTTAAGTCTTTAAAGGTTGTATGGAGGATTTTTTTTTTGTTTCAAGTTGTCAATGATAGCATTATAGAGGTGCAGTAGCCTTGTAATTATGATGACCAAAAAAAAGAGAATAAAAATTCATCAACTCTGGACGTGGTGGGGCTAAACATTTGCCAATAGATAACGACACTGCCTCGTTATCTGTTAGCTGACAGGCTGTCAATCAATCTCCCTACGTTTCTAGTGTAACTGACTTGCCTGCGCGCGCCGCCGGTTACGTGGTTTACGTACGCCTGTCACACAGTCCACACACGCAAAGACGCACAGACGCTGTTTACTCCACCAAACGCAACAGTTCTTAGCGGCTTTTTTTGACCTATATCTTCCTCGCAGTTAGCACAAAGTTTGTTGCAATGGCGACAAGAATCCAGGAGCAGTTAGCCGCAAAAGAAAGTCCGTTTTTGAGGTCGCTGAAAGAAGAAGACAAGGGGAAAAGCAGCGAAGCCAAACTAAGGTGATTCTTATAGATTCATTCCAGCGATGGCGCGACTGAAGCAGACGCAGGGTCTAAAGACTGACGCATTGGTCGCCAAATTACTCCTGGACAGGTCACTTCTGCTTATTCTGAAAACGTACTTTATTTCCAAGAGCTAGACAAACGTTTTTCAGGACGGAATCTCCGCGCACCGCTCCCCTCTCCAGTGTTGTGCATGAACGCGTTCAAAAGAACGCGTTCATTGAACACGTTCATTTTTCAGTGAACTTTGAACTGAACGCAACACTTTTGTAAATCAAGAACTTGAACGTGAATTTGTTCAAATTATTGTGTGATGAACGACGTACGTCACTGTTGGGGTTCAGTTAAACGTCGGAATTTGTTTTCACCTGACGAGTGACGATCTGCTCGCACTTCACCTCGCGAAACCACAGCCGCGTGTCAACGCGAAGGCGACTCCACCGGCAGCTTTAACGGAACGTACGGGCTCTTGTGTCTCTCAATCAGAAGTCAATCAAACTTGACTGGGCGCGTTTAGCTGCTTGTATTTACCTTCTGTACAGGCTGACCACGGCAAACGCAAGGATTTCAAAAGTAAATTTCAAAGCACTAATTAACAGTCTATGTGGATCTGGGCTCTTTCACTTGATACACAACTGCCAGGGAGCACAATGTGCTGATGGTAATACACAAATACAACAACAGATACATGCTCTTTGTGTATTTTGACGCCTACGCTCGTGTAGAGCCTCTAAAAATAGGATGGATCCTATTTTTTGACGCTCTACAGGCACAGGACGTGCTGCTCCACGCGCGTATTATTTTACTTGGTACAAATGTCAGTAACGCGCGTCACAATGCTTTTTAACCTGGACTGAAATGGTGGGTTTTTCGTTTTTCTTCATACAAATTTGCTAAAATCACCGCGATATCAGCAGTGGTGAAACGCCGGAGGTGCGCCCGCGTAGACCGTGATCCTGAGCGAAAGGACCGACGCAGAAGTCCGCGCTCCACCGAGATAAAACGCAGCTGACGCCCGAGCGCACTCGGGGTTCTCTCAGGGGCGGTCCTAGATTCCAAGTTCTAGTCCAGGATTAGTCCTGGTTTGGTCCTGGTTTAGTCTTGGTTTAGTCCTGGTTTAGTCCTGGTTCAGTTCTGGTTTAGACCTGGTTTAGACCTGGTTCAATTCTGGTTAAGTCCTGGTTTAGTCTTGGTTATTCCTGGTTTTAGACCTGGTTCAGTCCTGGTTCAGTCCTGGTTTAGACCTGGTTCAATTCTGGTTCAGTCCTGGTTTAGTCTTGGTTTATTCCTGGTTTAGACCTGGTTCAGTCCTGGTTCAGTTCTGGTTTAGTCCTGGTTTAGTCCTGGTTTAGACCTGGTTTAGACCTGGTTTAGTCCTGGTTCAGTTCTGGTATAGACCTGGTTTAGTCCTGGTTTAGATCTGGTTCAGTCCTGGTTCAGTTCTGGTTTAGTCCTGGTTTAGACCTGGTTTAGACCTGGTTTAGACCTGGTTTAGACCTGGTTTAGTCCTGGTTTAGTCCTGGTTCAGTCCATATACGGCGCAAAAGTTCAGCATCTTAACAGTTCTTTTGGTGAGAGTAAATTAAAAGTGCTGCAATAGTCATATAATGTTTTACATTTTAAATACAGTAATATTGTAATGTAACAAATGACTTTGAAATGACAGTAACAAGTCATAAATAAAACATTACAGTTTTAAAGTCACTTGTCCAACAGTGGATCTTGTAAAGTAAACTAGAAGTCAGTTTGAAAAATAAATGCAGCCTTTCATTTACAGATCTCATCTAAATATAAAATGAACTGAACTTTGAACTAGTTCAAAATTAAAATTGTGAACTATGAACGTGAACTATTCACTTTGAACAAGTGTGAACTGAACTTTGAACTAGTTCATGAAAAGTGTGAACTTGCACAACACTGCCCCTCTCCTCTCTCCTCTCCCTGCTCCGCTCTTCTCCCCGCTCCTCACTTCTCGTCCGCGAACGAAATGTCCGCACACCCCCTCCCCCCGCTCCTCACTTCTCCACCTTGCCTAACCAACACTGTAGTTAGTTGTTTACAAGTCATGTGCAGCTCACCGGCTGTGAACAAACCTGTTTCTGGCGTAACGAGGAGGCGGGAGGAGACGTTTCTACGTATGGAGCTGTGGGGGGGGGTTTCACGCATGCGCAACATTTGAAAAAGGACAAACAGTCGCTGGATTTCTCGTTCCTTGGAAAATCCTCTATACAACCTTTAAGTCTTAAGTTTTCTGTTTGTTTTGTTTTGTTATTATTATTCAGTAACCAGTAACACTCACACTGCATGTAGCCTACAAGGTTCATTTCAAGTGATGTGCATGTGAAAGTTGTGAGTGAAACCTGACTCTGTTTTCTGTATGTGGGCAGTAAGTGTTTTCCACCGCTCATGATGCGAATATAAAACCACTTCCACTGAGCAAACTGCAGCCTGACGCTTTACGCTTCACGCTCCACTTTGACCTTTGATGCAGGATCATACTGGGTGATGAGAAGCAGACAAATGTTCATCAAAAACACTGAACACCTAAACTCCACTCAAAACCATATTTCAAATAGATATCCACAATATCCGGCTTAGCGTTTTAATATTAAAACAGATTGCTATATTTCTCGCATCAGCCCCGTTCCCCGAGTTTCTCTTTCCATAGGATGACCAACAGATCCATGAGGATGACGAACGCAGTAGGGAAGGAGGAGCGAACGGAAGGGGAATAAACAAAAATGAGGACGATTCCCATTTCCTAAAACTTTAGACTGTGGTAATACCGTTATGGAAACTGTTCCGATAATAGTGACAAAATAAAAGTGTCTCCACGTCTGATGTACATGTTGGTTTGGTTACGTGTCTGAGGAAACAGGACAGACGCGATAAACTGACGACGAGTTGCGAAGGGGGAGACGTAGTCCTGTTTTATATGTTTTATAGGCTATAGTTTACTCCATCCAAATAAGACTGTTCTGGGGGAAACGTGGGAAATGCAACAAATTATAAAGTGCAGTGTGAAATTTAATATATGATGTTAAACGTCTTATTTAAACAGTGTACATGTAGGTCTAGTACTTCCCCAACATCTTCTACATGGACTAGCAGGCAGGGCGTAGTTATCCCCACAGACTGTACGTAGTCAGATGAGAGGTCTGAGAAGCATGTCGTCTTTGTCCGCCCTGAAATGGATTTATATTTGACATCAGTTCTGTTAGTTTTTGGTGAGTTATATCCATTTACGCACTTGGATTTCGAAATGTATGTAACCCATGCCTATAAAACGAGATTATAGCGCATTTATAAGTCACTTTTGTAATATCTGTCTTCACTTTAAGCCTAGCGTGAGTGCGTAGATGTGAGGCTTTGTTGAAATCAACATTCATGGCTCTAAGCATTTCTTTATCTTATACAAACGGCTATTCCATCGTAGAAATTCCAGCTAGGACATCACTGAACCCTCAGACACACCTTAAAAAACTCACTTTGTGGAAATTATATTTGTAGGCCACATCTGAAATTCATTTGGCTATAAAAAATATTTGCTCAACCAACATCTCACCTTATGATCTACTTTTGTAAATGTGTATTTTCAAATATTTTTAACCCCTAAATGTCTGACTTTCTGTCATGAAGTCAATGCATTCCATATTCCAAAACTCACAAAAAGTGAAATATCTTCTATATGTTTGATGCAAACTGGTTTCATTTTAAGAATCTGATGTATGTAAAAGTTTATCAGGTTTAATTTTGGCACTGAATTATCACTAGTATTTTTTGGTAGTGGTAAGGTCTGTGTGTTAAAGCCTTTTTTAGGCTATTTCTTTTTTCAGTGTTTTTAATTTGTTTAATCAAGCTCTCACCTAATGACGCAATCTGGATTATTTAATTTTATTTTACTGCTGGTTATTAAATCCTGGTGTATGTGGAAGGTTAGGAGCAATAAATGTGTATCTTGAGCTAACTGAATCAAACACGTTGTGGGAACTTTGTACAAAAGTATTCCCATTGGAACCCATTCAAATCACTTTTTTGAACCAGCTGCAATAAGATATTCTAATGCATGCACTTTCACTTTCTTTACATCATTTGGACTTTAAATTAATGTTCTGAGGTACTTTTTGCTGGATATTTAGAGCAAAATCCTACTTTTCCCCAAATTGCTTAATAATTCAAAATGTATACCAATGATATTCACTGCAAAAACACATAAGCTGTTAAACAGCCTGAATAAAAGCCTAGTTGATGGAGAGAGGACCACATGCATATTTTACTCTAATACCTCATCATAGCCAATGTTTGTATTCAGTACTTTTGCACTTAAAGTAACAGAACAGTAATAATAATAGTAGTAAACAATAGTAATAGCAGTATTTTGGTGTTATTACTATTAGTATTATTGTCTTTGATTGATAACATGACCTAACAAGTGTGTGTGTTTTTATTACAGTGTTGGTCCAATGTGAAGCAGAAGTAAGAGTTAACCTAACAGCTGTTGTGGGATCATCTATAACATTTCCAGACCCAGTGAAGGAGAGAGGATTTTTTTTATATGGATCAAAGACCATTGCTTCTGTTTACAATGGAGTCTTTGAGATTGAAGAAGACATTTACACAAACAGACTTCACTGGAACAGCAGCACTGGACGCTTCACACTCTCAGATCTACAGAAAAGTGATTCTGGAGTTTACACCATCGACTCTAAAAAAGGAAATGTGTTTCTTAAATATTATGAACTCAAACTTTATAGTGAGTAAACATTTTAACATATTTTAATTATTATTACAGCAGGAAACTCCTCTTTGAATCACCATGGAGTGCGGAAGCAAATTGTATTATGGCAGTCACTAAGTTCATCTGCTTATTTGTTGGTAGACAAACGGATAATAAGACAATAGCTGGAAACAAAAACACGTCTGAAAATCTCATGAAGTCATTTACATGTGAATTCTACAGAAGTTGATAGGTTCAGACCTGACCATAATCTAGATTGTACCAGTTAAGACTTGTATGAACCCAGAGTCTGCAATGCTTTGAATTGGAAATGAGAATGTTTTTGCCTTGGCTCAGTTTTACTTTCATTATTTCTGTATGAGCCAAATCCAAGCAAACAGGGATGTACACATTATAGGGATGTACACATTGGCTTAAGAACTGTAGACCGGTTGAACTGCAAATATTTGTCTGTGTAAACCCTCAGGCGTCCAGGTAGAATCCACAGCAAGAGTCAGATTCAATTTGATCAGAACTGAAGAAGCTGCTTGGATGTGCTGCAAAACATCTTCACTAAAATGTTTTGCCCAGTTGACAGAATTTAATCTTTCTTTTGCTAAGTAAATATTTATGTTGAGGTTTTACTAAGTGACACTATGTTGTTTTATATTCAATTATCACCATGACCTGGTCTTTTAAGTCAAGTTTTTTTGTATAATTTTGAATGTTTTGGGTGAAGCCTATGAATTTGAAGCATGTAGAGCCAGTTTCCTGTTTGACATAAAGAGGGTCCAAAATGGTTCAGTCACAGCCTTGAAATGTAGATATAATTTCCTCTCAAACATCCTTATGTCATTCAAATAAACTAGACAACATTTTTTACTTTTGATTAATAGTGTTTAGTGCTGCGCTAGTTGATCCAGCAGAATCACTGGTGTTTCTCAGTCCTCTGTGTTATTTCAATCTTTTTTACATACCATGATAATTATGATACTAATGATCAATGCATTTCTCTAAATGGTTAATCCACCTGTCAACTGTGGAATTTAGAGACAGTTACAGAACATAATAATAATAATAATAATAATGTCTTTGGGGTAGCATGTATTCTTGGCTGATCGGGCAAACCCAAAAGGCCAATTTCAATGAAAACATCCACCTCTAAATGAATGTTGTTTATTGCATCTTTAAATTATTAATTCTTTTACATTTTCAGAGCCATTGCCACTCCCAGTTGTGTCCCGTGTGAACGTGAGCGCTGACAGCTGCACTCTTCAGTGTTCAGTGAATCTCACAGAGCAGACCACACTGAGCTGGTTCAGAGGAGAGCAGCGTGTGGACAGCAGCAGCTCTGCAGTGCTGCTCCTCACTGTGCAACTGCAGGATAACACCTCAGAGCACAAATGTGTGGCTCAAAACCTCGCTGATGAGAAGAATGTTATAGTTAATATCACCAAAAAATGTCAATTTGTGGAGTCACAATCAAATGAGGATGAGGGTAATTGTAAGATTTTAAATATTAAACACAAAACAAAACCGTAATTGCTTATAAATAATGTTGCCTCTTTCTTTTGTCTTGTTTTGCTAGCTGCTGTCATTATCATCATTCCCATTGTCCTTACTGCACTCATCATCCTGTGTTTTGTGATCGTTGTTATCAAGAAGAAGTGCACTCAAAAGGGATCAACATCATCACAAATATAAGGCAGGTATTTCTAATTTACTTTTACATTTGACTAAAGACTAAAGTGAAGAGAGCGTGTGAGAATGCTCATTTCAGATCGTGTCAAACTACATGTAGGACAGATGCACGTTTTACATGAGACTGTGGTCAGAGAGGTTTCTGTTCCTGGACAAAAGCGTGACAGGAAACTTAACCACGTTAAAAAATATCCTCAAATACAGCGACCAATGTCTTTTGTCTTGGTTATATGAGATGTCAGTGGTGGGAAACATGCAGAACCAGATCACAAGGTTTGTTGAGTCATCTGCTGCTTCTGAGAGTTCAAACTTCAGTGTGATTGGCTAATAAACCTGTCAATCACTCAGAACCATAGAAGCTGATCAATAGGAGGAATCAATGAGTAAAAGTGTTGTTTGCGCATAAAGCTGAGTTAAACAAAGAAGCCGATTACAGCATCACTAAAAACAGCAAATTACCAAAGGACTAAAATCACAACTACATTTTTGTCTCCATATCTTCTTGTCTATGTAATTTTACTTGTGTGTATCTTTTATTATCAAAGCACACCACCTGGAAATTAAACTGCTTATGACATGTTAGACTACTTATTTCACTAAAACATAGTTATATTTAAGATTTTATTTTTAAAAGATCAAAATCTTTTTTCTACTTTGGTGAAGTTTATTATTTTTACTCTTACTCTACACGGGCAGAAGATGTGACATACATAGAGGGCAAACTTCTGTATTAAAATACTTTTACTCTCCATTATTTTTTTGGAGACGTAACTGATATAAAATTATGATAAATATTTACAAGAGGCACTATCCCATCAAACCAAGCAATAATTGTTAACATGAAACCTTGTCATAAGCATTTTAAGCATAGTCATTTCGTTGTTCACTATAAAGATTGCCTGGACGGGAATGTTGTGATGTTAGCGGAAAGTTGCATGCTGGTTGTTTATTTTACTCATAAGAAAGTACTGCAAATTAATATGAGATTTAATATCACAACCCCAGAGACAAGGTTTGTAAGGTGGCCCTGAAGACTTTAGGTTTGTTTAATCCTCACCTGTATTGTCGGTGGGAGCAGTTGGATGCAGCCAAAGGAGGGAGGAAAGACTCAAATTAGCTTGGGCACTCCATGAGCATGAGAATAGCAAGATAGCCTCAGATCACACAGTGTTCCAGTGACAGTGAATGCATTCTCCTGTCTCCCCACACACCACAAACTGAAACACTCATCACCAAAGCATAGAATCCAGAGCTCACTATAGTGAGCTATAGTTTACACACACTTGATTTGTGGTGAATATGACTTTAAGTTCATCAATATTCTTTAATTTTCATGTTCTCTGTATCATATAACACCATGGGTAATTTTTGTCTGATTTTAAGCGTCTGTGTCTGTGTGTCAGTCTGTTGTCAGTGCATGTGTTTGACAGCACTGCTTTTCCCATCATGCCTTTTGGCTTTGTCCATGAAGGTGAGTGAAGGCAAATGCAGTTGCTTTTTTTATCTTTATCACCTTGCTGTCTATTTCTTAAACACACACATAAACATGCCTACTTTGAATATTAGTCTGACCCATGATTATGTAAAAGACTAAACAAGTAGAAGGACTAGATGAAAGGGAGTCAGATAACAGGAAGAGACTGCATAGGTGGAGTTATTCTACATTTAGTAGTACAAATAACTCCTGTTAAATAGCTAAACAGCATTATTTACCTGAATTTAACTTTTCTTTTTCCATTATGCTACCCAGATACCTGGCACCTGCTCATTGTAACATGGGCAGCAGTAGTCTGGGGATTTCATGCGTTCATTGTGTTGTATGTAAACGGAGAATAAGGGCGCTGCTATGAATAGATAACACTCCTTTGTTGCTGGGTCTTAGAGGGACTTTCCATGAGAAGGTTTTAGTGGCTCTGGTGGGCGAACAGTTAAATTGTTGCGAGTTTATGGTTTGATTCCCCTTCTCTACTGTAATGTTAATAAAGTACGAAGGCAAATTCAGATTCAAGGAAAATTATTACATAAAATAAACTTAAATTCAATTAAAGTAAATTCCTTTATTGTCATTGTCATCTAAAATAACAAAATTATGTTAAAGCATCATACAGACTGCATAGTATTTTAAAAGTGCATAATAGTGTAAAGCACCCCCCATGACAACCACCACGTAAACATTACACCCACTATGTAAACATTAGCATACAGTAGTAGTAATATATCAGTGCTGCAGCAAAGGGGCATATCAACAGATCACAACAAAAGAACCAAAAGAACTGGGACATCAAGGACAGGGGAGCATCCAGTCAGATGTTTTTTTTAAATGTCCTGTTGCAGCAATGCAAAAGTTCACAGTTATTGTACAGGATGGATATGGTTTACTCACCATAGGAGAGGAGAGAATGGGGCAGGGCACTGTTCAGCAGCCTCACTGCCTGAGGGTACAGACTGTGGGCCAGTCTAGATATTCTGGCACATATGGACCTGTACCTTCCTCTTGAGGGCAAAAGGTGGAACAGGTGGTGGGCAGGATGGTGTTGGTCACGCAGGATGTTACGCACTCTCTTCTGACAGCAGGTGGTATATATATAGATGTTACACCTCAGTCCTGTAATTCGTCCCACTGTTGCTGTTAATGAGTCCGAGCACTATGGTGTCGTTGGCAACAATGAATTTGGAAGGAAAAGAGGCAGAGCAATCATGGGTGAACAGAGTATAGAGCAGAGGGCTGAGCACGTATCCCCAGTGAAGGGTGGAGGAAGTGTGCTTGTCCACTCTAACCCTCTGTGTTCGACCAGTCAAGAAGTCCACAATGTTTTCAGTCCAAGATGGTGTAGCTTGGCTCGAAGTTTGAATGGCCAGATCGTATTAAAGGCTAAAATCAACAAAGGAGCCTCGCATAGGTGTTCCAGTAGTGAGTGGAGCACAATGGCAACGGCATCCTCGGTAGAACGGTTCTGTCAATATGCAAATTGGTATGGGTCAAGTGTCGGTGGTATTGCGCTTTTAAAGTGTTTGATAACCTGTCTCTTAACTTTTATGAGTTTTACCCATATTCTAACTAGGGGTCAAATTATCGCGTTAATTGCGATTAATTAATTATAGTCATATTTAGCGCGTTATGTTTTTTTATCGTGTTAATCTCATTTTTAATCTCTAACTTTACTGTTTCTGTATGCGAGTTGCTTTATTATAAAATCTGTTTTTATGTGTTGTTGGGACAACAACACACATACACACAAAAACACATTTATAATTTTTTTTATTTCTGTAATTCCACTCATTGCCGGAAACCTACACAGAACGCGCGCAGTAAGAGCGATGTAAACGTCATGTTAACGTTGGCGGCGTCAGTCACACAGTGGACGAGGTCGAAGAGCCAGTAGAACAGAGTCAGCAGTGCACAGGTAAAAACGCATTCGTGTCTTGGAAATTATTCTCCCGACGTGAAATATAAAAGAAAATAACAAATATAAAATCACCTACAACTTCAATTTCACTGGTGAAATAGGCTGCATAGGCTCATGATGTCTGCACTACTGTCCTATAGTGACCTGCCACATGAGGGGACATGCACACAAACACACACAAACACACACAAACACAAACACACACAAACACAAACACAAACACACACCTTCATCATCGTCATTAAGCTGAGAACACGCGAACCACGTTTCCTTCCGTAGTTACTGCACGGACACCGCTGTCCTCACGTGCGCCGCGTACGTTTTCTGGCGTACGCTGCGTAAACCGCGCTTCCTCTTGTGCGCCTCTAAACCAGAACTAACACCAAGACTAAAACCGGGACTAACCCAGTCCAGGACTAAACCTGGTCTTAACCAGGACTAAACCAGGACTAAACCAGAACTAAAACCAGAACTAACACCAGGTCTAAACCAGGACTAAACCAGAACAAACACCAGGACTAAAACCAGGATTAATCCATTCCAGGACTAAACTAGGACTAAAGTAGGACTAAAGCAGGTCTAAACCAGGACTAAAACAAGGACTAAAACCAGTGATTTCATATATAAAACATTTCTCTATCAGTAATATTTTTAATATGGTTAAGGAAAGACTGGACTTTTTATTGTCTTTAAGTAGACAAAAGTTATGTTCAGATTTCCTCGTCTTTGCTACTTTACAGCAAACAGTTTCTTATTCATGGAGACTTGGGCTCAACAGCCAATTTGGAGAGATTTGTTAAACAATAAATTACTTCATAAAGTCACTTTTTTTGTTCTATATCAGTCTTTTGATCTGCCACAATAATGTAATAATGAATTTAAATGAAAATACCTCAAATTGAAGGCTTTTCTCAGCAATTTTTAGGTGAGATTAAAAAGAGATTAATTAGATTAATTAATTACAGATCATAATTAATTAATCTCTAAATTTTTTTTATCGCATAACAGCACTAATTCTAACAATGTTCTATCATCATTAGTTTACTCAAAGTTGCATTTTGATTAATTCATGTATGTTTGAGTCTTCTGTATTGTCCTGCATTTGAAGCTTGGGTGCTCATAAAATGCACTTTTTTACATACTCCCTATCTCCATGTGCTGCCCTGTTCTTACTAGCATTTATGTAAAACTGTCAGACTCACTGTCATACGTGTTGGGTTAAAAATGCTGCTTTTGTTGCATGTAAAAGAGAATTTACATGTAAATGAGAATCAGCCTACAGCTTTTTCTGTGATGCATTCAGTTATAGGGCTACAATATGGCAATAAAAATCCAATGGTGAGATATTAAGGGAACTGTGATCAAGCTACAGGAAATTTTGATATGAGTTATATTAAAGAGGGAGTATTATGCAAAGTCCACAATTTGGAACTTTCTACAATATTCCCTCCTCAAACACAGATGTAACATGGTGATCTAAATATGTCATGTGTGTCAAGTAATGCCCCATAGAAGTGTAATACTATTTAATTCTTTTGAATATCGCCCAGCCTTATTTGAATAATGTTGACCCACCACAAATATTCAACCTTACTGCAAACATGTTTTTAGTTGACACAAAAAATAGAGACTGTTGACAAAATAACACAAAATAAACTGCCACCCTTAAAGAGCAAGAACAGCTTTCTCAGATATAGTTAAATATACAAAAATGATGATATAGTGATACAGAAGCCTGAGGAAATTAGACTTTGTTACTTATTACTTACTTTATTGATCCCAAGGGAAACATTTACTCTGTGCTTTTTCACACCTCAGTGGTATTGGTGACGTAGTTGGTCCCAGCCCTTTAGAGATCTTTGTGTTTCAGAGTACTTGAGGTGACAGTAGCGGTCCTGGGTTTGATTATGATTTTATTTTAATAGTCATTAGTTACAATTACTCTTATTAATTGTTTGCAGTTCTATACCTCAGTACGCATAATACTGTTAAAGCAGGTTTACGGTCAAAATGAGACCAGTGTGCTATTTGCATTTTAATTATGGAGTGTTTAATAGTCTGAAGTGCACTATTAGCATGCTTCTTAGCTTTACAGTGATGTCAAAACTCCACTCTCGTCTCTGAAAGTTGTGAAATGTACTTATAAACTAATAGTGGTAAATAATTAGGATGCCCGGAATGTGTTAGGAAACTGAAGAATCATTTTGAACTGCTGCAAACACCTTTAACATCTCTCTGTTGGATGGATATTTTATCAGTGGGGACCTAAACTCTGTCATTTTTCTGCTCATCAGTAAATAGTTGAGTCATTTCCAGTCTCTCTTACTGTTGGTGTGGTTCCTGTCTATAGAAATGAATACAAGTTGCTTTATTACTCAGTCTAACATGTTTATGACCAAGTTAGTATCTCTGTCATTCTGCCCATGTTATTTGACTCATGCCTGTGTGAATGTTTCAATAACATCAATAACAGCATGTATAACATACTGTATTTCCTCTAGCTACTAACCTACTAATGCACTAACCAACTTTCTATTTTCACAGATTCAGTCATATACGCTCAAATTAACCACTGCAAAAGAGACAATGCCAATGATATTCAGGTTGGTTCAATGGCACACTTTAAGGTTAATGATTCTATGCATCGTTTATTATTATCTATCATTATTACTAGTATTTTTTATAGCTTTATTTTGTTAGGTAGTTAGATTTATTTATTTGTTTACAATGCACATGAACATCTGTGTTAAATAAAGAGGGGGGCCTAATACATACAAACAGGAGATTAGTACAACACAAGGAAATGCTAAAAATAAGCCCCTGTTTTTGGCTAATGACCACTACTAATGAGCACTGATTACTCTATGTCAGTGCTTCACAGGAGTATTGTGGAGCACTGACATAGAGGGTATTTTGTAAATAATTAAAATACCCATTCTGTCACATATTCAAGCTATAGAATGGCTAAGTATAGAACTGTCTGAAGGTTATGTTTACATTGGCACAAACTCACATTAAAACTGGGACAAGATTAGAACTGAATAAGCTCTAGAACAGGACCAAAACTGTCTACAGCAGGTCTAAGCCAAGCTGAAATTAGTTTGAATGCACAAAGTTGAATGTACTGTTCTTTATTTACAAATCTACACCACATCTGTATTCAGACCCACTTAAGGTAGTGTAGCTAGATTGATGCTTGCCAAACTATCGGCTGTAGAAATTGGAGGTGTGAAATCTGCTGGCCAATGTGGTGTCAGTGGTTTTCGTATTTCTGGGTCCTGTTTGTACTTGTTTTTATATTGAGCAAGCACTTATAAGGGTTAATGCTGCATGCTACATTACCTAACAAGAAACTACACCTATAAATAGCTAAACAAATGGACAACAGCAACAGACGTTGCTATCCCTACTGGACGCTCATGCAAAGTTTTGTGCGAGTAAAGGAAACAACGAAGCTGTGTAAGTGCAGGAAGTGAAAGCACTATGAACCACAATGTTAAAATAGACTTTTCAAACTGTATAACAACTATCTATAAACATTTTGTACTTGTTGGCAACTGTCAATTTATCTATTATCTATAAATTGTAATAAAGAAAATGATAAGGGGAGCTATGTCATGCTTGTAATATGGTTAAACCTGCATTGGACCATGTATATATGGATATATTGAATGAATGTATTGAATTATTTAGTATGGTATTGTTCCTAAACCTAATTGTCTCTTTGTTTTTTGGGTTGTTTTTTTTTTACAGGGTAGCAACTCATCTCCTCCATCAGGACTATCAGCCCATTCAAATCTAACCACAGTGTATTACCAAGTAACTCTTACCAGGATGACTCCCACTTACTCCAACTGCGAACAGGAAATCACATGAGAGTACATCTGATTCCAGGGAAATCAAAGTGTATGTGGGCATTTCCCAATTAGATTCAGTCATTTCTGTGTCTTCTTAGAAAAGTGTTTTGACTGCCGTAGATGTCTTGACTTCCACCCAGAAATCATTATCAGTCTTAATGTCATCTGATTTATATGATTCTAAGGGGAGGTGTCCAAATATTACTTCAATTACTGTGGATTTGCATAGATGTAGTTTGTTTAAAGCTAACATGTGTAATTAGATTGGCCAACCCACACCATTTTATTCTTAAGGCCAGTTCAGACCGGGGCATCAAGGCGTCCAGTTTAAATGCAGAGTCTATATGGATGCGAGTCTAGGGCGTCCTGCATTTTTGTGGCACATCTTCAGGCGTCAGCGAGGTGTGGATCTTGTGTTGACGTGGTGCGTCGTCTGCATTCAGGTGTCAACACTCTGGACGTGAGTCCAGGGCGTCGGCATCATAAGGTGAAAATGCTGAACTTTTGGAGTCAGACGCCCCACGTCAGCCAATCAGGGTCGACTATCTAGAGACGTTAGAAGAAAAAAGAGAAAGACATGGGAACCGGAACTGGGAGCCACAAATATTAGCGGAGTATAAATATATGCCCGCCGCAACTGCCGAGTCAATTGCCAGGACTACACGAGCACTACACCAGGACCAGACCAGGACTGAACCAGGACTGAACCAGGTCTAAACCAGGACTAAACCAGGACTGGACCAGGACTAAAGCAGAACTAAACCTGTATCATTATACTACTAATAAATATATACATACCACAGCCGCAGAGCTGATCACCTCCGCTGATGGTTTTATGTAATAAATACACAAAAGATACTTTCTCAGACTGGTCTGTTATTGTTCAGCGAAAAGACTGAGAAATTCCAGTTTCTAGGGTAACAGACACCCTGGATTTTCGTTCACGGCATCCAAGATGTGCATCGCGGGCATCTAAACTCAAATGCAAAGGCATCCAAATAGAGGCGTCCAGGGCGTTTTATGACACCACAGTCTGAACATACCTTTACACTTCACCACTAGATGTTATCTAGTTTAGGTCTGCTACAAATAGTAGTCAATTTCAATTTATTTCTGGCATTTTATATTTTATATATACTTTTCTAACTGCAATTTCAATACTTATGTCAGGGAATTTACCCCGACCTCAAATATTAAAGAACACGCCAGGGACACAGTGGTTCGTTTTACTTGCGCAAGGAGTAGGAGAGAGCTGCCTGTCTCATCCTAACTGAAGCTCTCTTCTCTCCAACGTCCTTTTATTGTAGAGCACACAATTATCATACAGTAGGTTACTTTGAATACAGTACCTATTGTTCACATGTTATCTCATGACTGACAAGCTTCCACTGACACAGCCCCCCATTATACACAGGTTTCACATTCCAGGTGGTAGATAGCCTCTAACAGTTCCCCAGAGTTCTGTGTTAACCTCCTGATGTTTACCATTACTATTTGTTTCTCCCGGTACATTATCTTTAATGAGCCAGCCGACACATCATCCATATCACCTGATATAGCTTGAACACAACACAAAGCAATGTTGATAATCTTATATTGTACCATGATTAATACTTTAAATCACTTATAACACAAAATTCTCTAACACTGTGGCTACTGCAACTAGGCTACTACTACTGCTACTACTACTACACCTACTACCTTGTCAGTGCCTGTATGAAATGTTTGGAAAGACTATTGGATTATGATTTAACTTTTACTCCAACTGTTGTTACTTCTACTACTGAAAATACTGCTGCCACAGGTATTATTGCAATGAAACTACTTCTAATAGCAAAGAGAAATTCAATTCTGCCAAATGGACAAAAGTGTTTCATCAAAGACGTTTCACAGCTCTGAAACTAACACACCTACAGTACTTGTTTAGTTTCTGTTTGTTAACAGCCACTTCATAAGAGGATATACCAACACTGGACCCCAGTCTGCCTTACATCTCCATCTCAAAGCCTCTAATCACTCCTTTGAGGATAGTGGGGTTCAGATCTTAGCCAGAGAAAAGAATTTGAGAGGGGAATTGAACAGGCTATTTTTGTTAGGAAAGACACTCTGAATATGACTGAGGCACAGTTCACACTGAGTGTAGTTCAATAAACCTAGCAAACAAACAGAAACTGTAAATAGGTGTGTTAGTTTCAGAGTAGTTAGCTCCTCCTCTCAGACAGATATAAGGCAGTGTCCATCAGTAATTTGACAAGAACTGAAGAAGTTGCTTGGATGAGCTGCAAATCGTCTTTGATCAAAACCTTCAGTCCATTTGACAGAACTGATTTTCTCTTTGCTATGGATCCTATGGATCCCATATTTCTTCTTAAAATATAAAAATTTGGGTTAAATGAGGATGCAATCTGGTCCCCCAATTCAGAAAATTCCAATGACAAAAAAGCAGACTGAAAAGCTCACCAAAGCTCAAAATAAGTAAATTTAAAACAAAGTCAAATTTCAAGTCTTTGTGGCCCAGTTGATCTGAAATCAGGCTTGATAGAGTCCGGGTCAGAAAAAAAAAAAAAAAAAGGAGAACAATATTAAAAATATTAAGTTAGGTGATAGGCCTAGTTGAAAACCATGACTTTTGGGATGATACAAAAGCAATATAGTCTAGTTCAGGGGCTTCCAACCTGTAGCTTGGAGCTCTGCACCCCCTTCTGTGAAGCCCGTGAAGGGATTTTAGAACCGGCCTTTATGTATTGCGCTGAATAACACAAATTTGAGTAATTTTAATTAACTGCCTTTTACCTTCGGAAATGGATCATTTTCATTCCCAACTCTGTGCACTAATAGATGGATTATGGTTTATGTTTTATGGGCAGCTAACTGTTCCCATCTAAGGCCTGTCGTGGCTCTTATAGCTAATGAATACATTTCTTGCAACCTCCAAAATTAGTAACTCTCTGGTATTTTCATTTTATAAAGGCAGCTCACCGGAGGAAGAAGGTTACAGAGCCTTGCCAAGGCCTATAAACATTTTTAAAGCACATAATTACAGACATTTTAATTGTGCCTTTGTCATTTTACCCACAGGTTCAGGGAGTTGGTTGTTCCTGATTCCTCTGGGTGTTTTTGGACTCGCTCTGGCTGTTTATGTGACCGTGATACAAGTAACAACTGAAAGAAAAAGAAAGAGAGAGGCAACAGTGTCCTCTTCCGGCATATGAGCACATAAATAGGCTTGGGGGCCAAGACAGAGTGTAAGTGTGTCATTTTCACCAGTAGAGGAAGTCATCAGACCAAAAACTTCTCTTCTCTATTCCTAAGTTTGAGTCATGTGATGTGACTCCATTAAACCTCTTAGTAGTTTTGCTGATGTGTTGAGCCTAAAGAAGCCCATATCTGTAGCCTATGCACTGGACGTTAAATGATAAATATTCACAATTAAATAAGTTTGGAAGGAAAAAAATAAGTGTTGGGTTTAGCGCTCACAAGATGTCACAACTGGGGTTGCAAGTAATTAATTACAAATACTCATGTTACTGTGCCTAATTGATTAAACATACAGACTTAAACATACGAACTTTTAATAAATGTTACTTCTAAATCACAGAAGTAGAAGTTACAGTGTACTGAAAGTCCCATTTGTGTAATGCATTTGTGTCTGCACATTCTACAGCATCAAACACAGAGAACAGAACTGCACTGTCTGCTCTGATCAGTCAGAGTTTGGCAAAATTCAGTTTAACACTTTTTGATTGATCAGGTTTTGAATAAAAGTATGATTTAAAATGCTTCTAAAATTGTAACTAGTGCTCTGAGTAGTATTTTTCATGCACACTTTTTACTTTTACTTAAGCACAATTTTGGCATCAGTACTTGTACTTTTTTAGCCGCATGACTGTACTTTTACTTGAATACAAATTTTCAGTACTCTTTTGACCCTTGGACATAATACAGGCTTCACTGTCAGATGGAGAACAGTCAGTTGGCTCATGTATTTATTAAGTATACTATCTAGCCACTGTAATTACTAGGTCTATACCACAGACTGGATATATTCACATATTAGATCCCACTGAAGTGATCGAATGAATATTGAGAATTGTGGCTTCTGCATTGGCTTCCCTGATGAGAAAATACATGACTGCAAATGTAAATGCCATTGTATGTGTAATATGGCTTTTTGTGTAATATGTAAAATAAAAATAAAGTATCTATCTAATCTACATCTACACTGACTTGAATTAATTTTATAGAATTACATAACGCTGTACTTATATGGGCAGAGCCTAATTTATATATTTCTAAATAAATAAAGTACAAAATCCCCAAATGTTTGAACTCTTGTGGTTATGTACCCCATATCTCCTGACCTTTGACATCTCATACTATCATGAAAGTGTTTGAGAGATTTGTTCTAGCTCAGCTCAGACCCCTGGTAGCACCATTCGTAGACCCTCTATACTGTAGTTTGCCTATCAGTCTCATATTGATGTCGATGATGTGGCCATTTATCTTCTGCAGCAGGCTCACTCTCACCTGGATAGTGTTATTTTTCAATTTCTCCAGGACCTTTAACACAATCCAGCCTTTTCTGATGAGTGAAAAGCTGCTCAGAATGGGTGTCAGAGTGGGTGTGACTGGGGACTTTTTCTGATACCGTGGTCAGTAATGTAGGAACTCCGCAGGGTACAGTCCTGTCTTCATTTCTGTTCACTCTCTACACCTCTGATTTCCAGTAAAGCTCCGGGTCCTGCCATTTGCAGAAGTTCTCTGATGAGTCTGCAGTGGTTGGGTGTATCAGAGATGAAGTACAAGACACTGTTTGCAGATTTTGTGGATTGGTCCCAGGCAAACCATCTGCTCCTGAACGTTGACAAGACCAAGGAACTGGTGATTGACTTCAGGAGAAAGAGGACATCAGTGGAGTCCGTCATAATGTGGAAATAGTGGACGGTTACAAGTACCTCAGCATCCACGTTAACAACAGGCTGGACTGGAGGGACAACTGTAAAGCTGGAGATCTTCTACCAGTCTGCGGTGGCATATGCCTTGTACTTCACTGTGGTCTGCTAGGGGAGGGGCACCAGTAAAAGTGACATTGGGCAGATTGACAAATGCATCCGTAAAGCTGGTCACATGATCAACTGTGCACTGGAGACATTTGTCACAGTGAGGGGCAGGAGGACAGTGGACAAACTGCTCTCCATCATGGACACTCCTGCTCCCCCACTGCACCAGACAATAGAAGGACTAAGGAGCTCATTCTCCAACAGGCTCCTACAGCTCCACTCAAACACACAAGAGATAGGGAACTACATTCATACCATACTCCATACAACAACTCACCCTTATGTAACAGATAATACTCCCTACAACTGTACAACAACTCATCCTTATGTAACAGATAATACTCCCTACAACTGTACAACAACTCACTCTTAGGTGACAGATAATATTCCCTACAACTGTACAACAACTCATCCTTATGTAACAGATAATACTCCCTACAACTGTACAACAACTCACTCTTAGGTAACAGATAATACTCCCTACAACTGTACAACAACTCATCCTTATGTAACAGATAATACTCCCTACAACTGTACAACAACTCACTCTTAGGTAACAGATAATACTCCCTACAACTGTACAACAACTCACTCTTAGGTAACAGATAATACTCCCTACAACTGTACAACAACTCACTCTTTAGGTAACAGATAATACTCCCTACAACTGTACAACAACTCACTCTTAGGTAAACAGATAATACTCCCTACAACTGTACAACAACTCACTCTTAGGTAACAGATAATACTCCCTACAACTGTACAACAACTCACTCTTAGGTAACAGATAATACTCCC